GTGTGTGAGTGTGAGTGTGTGAGAGAGTGTGTGAGTGTGTGTGTGTGAGTGTGTGTGTGAGTGTGTGTGTGCGAGTGTGAGAGTGTGTGTGTGTGTGAGTGTGTGTGAGTGTGTGTGTGAGTGTGTGTGTGCGAGTGTGAGAGTGTGTGTGTGTGTGAGTGTGTGTGAGTGTGTGTGTGAGTGTGTGTGTGCGAGTGTGAGAGTGTGTGTGTGTGTGAGTGTGTGTGAGTGTGTGTGTGAGTGTGTGTGTGCGAGTGTGAGAGTGTGTGTGTGTGTGAGTGTGTGTGTGTGTGTGTGTGAGAGTGTGTGTGTGTGTGTGTGTGTGTGTGTGTGTGGTTTTTACTTTTTTGAGGCAGGTCTCTTGTATCCCAGGCTGGTCTCAAGTGTACTGTGTGACCCAGTGATGGCCTTGAACTTCTAGTCCTCCAGTCTTCTTCTCAAGTGCTGGGATTACAGGTGTATACCACTATGATAGCTGTGTGTAGAGTTGGAGCTTAAACCCATTGTGGGCAACTTTACCAGCTGAGCTATGTCTCCAGCCCAGGAAATAAGTTTCTAGCTCCATGAATTGGACAGCATAGCTGTGGAGTCAAGCATTTTGCAGTCTTAAAATAGAAACAAATTTACTTCAACATATGATCTAGTAATGAAGTTTTCTTTGCAAATGGAGGGGAAGCACAACAGATGAAACAGTGTTGGTGGGTGAGATTATTTAACCAGATATTAAGTGCAGTTATGATGAAAACAGGAGAAGAAAGGAGATTTGAGGGAGACAGCAACAGGAAGAATAAGCGTTGAATTGCTGTGTAGTTATTTTTCTTAGCTAGGAGAACACAGGTGTGCTCACTGCAGAACAGCATCCTTATTCTCATTGGTTGACCACATGCTAATCGTGTTCCCGGAGCCTCGCAGAACCATAGCATGTTAATCTGTGAAGATGCTTGTCCCTGACCGCCTCATCTCCCAGTGGTTCTTAGCAACACGGGAGTAGCTTCTCCTGTCAGTCTTGCTCTTGGCTTGGAGTGAGAAATGGACCATGAGGCCCATCTCAAGATGAAATCTTAAAAGATGAAATTTTAGCTATACTTTCTGCCAGTGTTGTTTAAAGGAACAGCTGCTGGCATTTGAAGGGGTTCCCTGTTTATTCTGAGACAGCCCTCTGTGGCTTTGGTCTCCCCATGTCCTAAATAAAGCCGCCTGAAGACTCTTCTTTTTATTGCCTGATTTTGTCTAAAAGTATTGCAGAGAAACTTGATTTGGTTCCATAAGGAAGGTTCAATATGCTGCTTACCTTTTTCCAGTTTTTGTGGATCTAAGTTATTGGATATTCAACTGAACACTAGTTTATTGTTTATTTTTTTACAGTTTGGAATCCTGGGACTGAGGATGTAGCTCAGTTGGTACAGCGCTTTTCTAGCATGAGAGCTTGTGTTCATTCCCAGCACTGCATACAGTGGTGTCATGTAGTGTGGCATAGTGGTTCTTGTGTGGATCTCAGGACTCGGGATGTAGGACCAGGAGGATAAGAAGTTTAGGATCATCTTCAGCTACATATTGCACTGGAGATCAGTCTGGGATGCAGTAAACCTTCTCACAATTAAACAGCCCACCAAAAACTGCAATTTGGGTCCTAGTTTTGTCAGGTTAATTTTCTAAGCAAATAACCTTATGTAGACATACTTGGTAATTTGTAGAAGGGACATTTTTGTTTCCCTTTATTTTCTTTTTAATCTTAATCACAGCGAGATCCCACTCGTGATTAAGAAGTGATGCCTGCACCAAGTGTTGTGGGATAATATCTTGCATCTTTCTGCTAAAGTGGGAGGTACCCCTCTCCTTCTGTTTTATTTCTTTGGTTGCTTTTTTTTTTTTTTTTTTAACTTATTTCTTTGACCTTGGTTCCTAGATTTCTCCTTTTCAGAAATTCCCTAGCAAATCCATATTTGTTTTATTCAAAGTACAAAAATTAGTGTGTACTTTTACTGGTACAGTATGCCATACTGTCTCTTAACGAATGAGAACTATGTTTTTCCATTTGATAGATGTGTGTGTATGTATATATGTATACCTTACACTTTGAGAGGTGCTCTACCAGCCCTAGGGCTCACTCCAGCCCTAGGCTTGCCCATTTGGTAGATATATGTGTCTCTGTCTAAATGTGCTTGTCTGTCTGTCTGTCTGTCTGTCTGTCTGTCTATCTATCTATCTATCTATCTATCTCATGTATCTATCATCTGTGTGTTTATCTCTATATATTTATGTGTGTACGTGTGTATTATTTATTTATCTATGAGTGTGTATACATAACCAATGTCTATTTTATTATCCCTTCTCTTTGTGTGTCTGTCTCTGTGTCTGTCTTTGTGGATGTGCTGTAGATCAAACCTAGGACCCTGTACATGCTGCTCCTTCTGGATATGAAGACCCAGATATAAAATAAGTAACGATTTTTATAGAGTTGAGGCAGATTTGCTGAACACCTGGAAATTTTTTTACAGTCTTTTTGAATTTATTTATTTATTCTTTAAAAAAAATAATTTATGCTTTATGAATACTCTGCATGTATACCTGCATGCCAGAAGAGGGCATCAGATCTCATTACAAATGGTTGTGAGCCACCATGTGGTTGCTGGGAATTGAACTCAGGACCTCTTGAAGAGCAGCAGCTAATGCCCTTAACCACTGAGCTATCTTTCCAGCCCTTGGATTTATTTTTAAAATACCTTTAGGCTGGGCGGTGGTGGGGCACACCTTTAATCCCAACATTCAGGAGGCAGATGCAGGTGAATCTCTGTGAGTTCAAGGCCAACTTGGTGTATGGAGCAAGTTCCAGGACATCTAGGGCTGCTACACAAAGAAAACCTGTGTTGAACTCTGCCTCCCCCCCCCCCCAAAAAAAAAAACACCTTTAGGATAAGATGAAGGTATATATTTGAGGAGTTCCCCCATTCTGTTTATTTTCAGTAGATTGAGTCACTGAGGTTTTTAATATGATCACTTTTCTTCACACCCCTCATGTATACAGTCTTTTGCTGCAGAGGTTAACAATGTATACAGTGGTATCCCATGTGATTTACATCCCCTTAGATGCAACTAGATGGACATCTTAGGTTATAAAGGTATACTCTGGTATTCACACATTTCTCAATGTTATCTGTGCTCAGTGGTGCCTGACTGTAGGTGTAAAGGGAGTTAGAGAACTTTTTAAGAATACCCATAGTTCTTTTGTGGATAATACTCTTAACTGCTTGCATCTGGGCATTTTTTTCCCCCCATGTTACAGAGTCCAGTTAACAATGTGTCTCCGAGTCATCATCAAACATGATTTTCCTGGTCACTGGCCTGCAGTGGTCGACAAGATAGACTATTACTTGCAGTCACCAAACAGTGGGAGCTGGCTTGGCAGTTTGCTATGCTTGTATCAGCTGGTGAAGACCTATGAGTAAGTTCGTTTCTACTGGCAGAAGAGAGCCAGTGTCCTGTGGAATCAGGCCCATTGAGCCTGAGTGCTGAGATTACAACCCAGGTCGTTTCCCTTCTTTAAGACGATAGTTCAGATAGTTTTATGGAATTTCTATTTAGTAAATGTTTTAGGTTGGCAGCACCGA